ACCGTCGTTGGTCACGCAGCTAAGTACGAAAAGTAGACAACCTCAGTTAATTCCTGACCATCTAGTTTCAGAGCAGAACTCGGCGACACCCAGTCTTGCAGCATTAGTTTGCACTTTGAAGATGAATAGAACATGCCGATCGGAACGACAGAACTTGCTAATCTGTCAAGCGTTCTTTGTGCATCCTCCATAGATTCGAACAGGAAATCGATGTCAACGTACTCCAGATCGCACAGCTTTTATCCAGCTGCCCATTCAATACCTATGTTTTAGAGTCTACTTAGTGCGTTCCTCAGTAATTCGTCTATGGCGAAAATGGACAGAAATAGCGAATAAGGGTACCCTTGACGAACACCACTGTTAGTTGCGAACAGTGAGTATACCACCAGAAGTATATGAATAGAGTGGAATCAGTATGTTCACATACTTCTGCGGCATTCCTTTGCGAAGGAGCGAACCCATAAGCGATTCACGATCAACGGAATCGAATACTTCTTTTAGCTCTTTTAGATCAAGAAACATGACAACCGTTGGACGACGGTGCGTATGGCGCAGCTCGGGAACTTGACGCAGAGTGGAGATTTGATCGATACAACCGCGGCCTGGTCGAAATTTCGCTTTTTGTATGATGGAGGCTAATAACATGGTGACGATTGGATTCAAACTTATCCCACAGTGATTTNNTTGCGCAGTCCTTGCGAGATTCCTTCTTAAAACTTAGAACAATCAGTGATTTTCTCCAAAATGATGGAATGCGCGTGTGTGTAAGTAGGGCTTCCTCAACAGAGGCTATTTGAGACGCTTGGCCATATAGGAGCATTTCGCGAAGTGCAAGGGAATGGTGACCAGTCACAACCCAAGGCACCCACTCCGACCATACTGAGGCTTTCGGAGGAAGCATCAACGCGCACTTGTACCTCATCTTTAGTTTCACCGTTAGAAAGAATGGTTGAACCCAGGTATATAGAGCTTTCGACGGATTCCATCGGTTTGTCATTTAGCGGTAACGTATCTTCGGCACGAATTGAGACTGTCGCAAACGTTTTGGTTTTTGATGTGTTCATCCCTGGGCCGATCTCGGAGACCTGTCAACTGATGCAGTCAACGATTATTCGGAGATTGTGCATTTCCTCATCAAAGACGACAATACCATCAGTGAATTCTAAATCGGTGAGCCATAAGTTGGGAGAGATCTGAACTCGCTGGTATCTTTCCATCAAACGACTGACTATTCAGTGAACGGCAAAGTTGACCAACGTTGGTGACCAAGGGGATCCCTGTTGCACTCCAGATCTTAATTCTAACGAGTGAATACTAGCCGCAGATGCGGATTTGAGTAATAGTGTTGGAGTAGTAGGGCCTCACGAGATTGACAAGTGGAACTGGGACACCATTTGCCAGAACCATGTTCCAGAGGGAATCGCGATCTACGAAATCGAATGTTGCACGAAAATTAATGAAGCCGATTGCTGTGAGTTGTTGGAACTTGTTGCGATGTTCCCGGAGTCGACGTAGAAAGAATACTCGGTCAACGCAGCTCACATCGGGGCGGAATACTTTAAGGGAACCAGAATTCTGGTTAAGATGGGTGCGCGGGGCTTGTTTCAGTAAAGCCGTTCAGCAAAAGCCGTGAAAAACCTGTCTGCCAAATCAAGTACACTGATGCCTCTGTGTTTTTCGTGGTTCCCTCCAAGAGAGAGGTAATTATCTCCGTTTGTCCTAAGAGTAATGCAACTGAGGAATATTCGATGAATAAGTGTTTTATTTAAAATTATCAGGAAACAAGTAATGTGTAAGGAGAATTAAAAATGTGTGCATGTTACTTGGAAATGTATCATTTTTGTGGATGATCATTTCTAAATTATACAAGCGGTTACAAAGTACGTTTATTCCAGTCTGTCAAGCGATGCATCGCGTGTACTACGTCAAGCTGGTTGAGGTGACTGGTTGAACTTGTAGTACGCCTCAATTACATCACATGGTCTATTATTATTACTTTTTCATTGCACACCTTCCTGTGATGAACAGCAGTCACGAGGACATGGTGTTCAGTGATGTTTATTATTACTTTTATTATTGTGCAGTGAGGGCGAAAAGCGTACATTTTTCAGCGGTATTGTTCAATAGCATTTCAAATTATTAGGTTTATATTTTGAATATCATGAATAGTAAATAATACTATCATGTTAATTACGCTGTACACGCAATTTATATATCTATATTGCGTTTGGAAAACATTCGATCGAACTGAATACAAGACAGGACAGGTCACAGGACTTGCGGCAGAGCCAGAAGCAGTCGTTTCCTGCACCAATGAGCTTGACAGCACCACGGCGCAGCGACAATTATGTTATTTCTTTCACGTAGACGTCGGTGAGTCCGGTTCTGGAACAGAAAACGCACCTCCGATGGTTCCTCTGAGTGACAGTAAAAAATATACGATTACGAACAGAAGTGGGCAGTTCAATAGCACATCCGAATCTAATCATCTGGAATATTAAAACCAAATTATAAACAATCCAGCCTCCAAATGTACATTAAACAGCTGCTTAGTGTTCGAATTCCATGGAGATGAATGCATTCATCTCAACGACGGCAATATTCAGACAGTTTTTATTTATGATTAAGTCTGACGCTGACGAATTAAAAATATTTTATAAGCGAGATTTCGAATGACCGATGAGCAGATAAGCACGATAATTCCGATAACACACGTCATTTACTCTTTGGGGTAACGCAATTATCACGACCTTGAAGGTCAGGACAGGTTGCACAGGACTGAATATGGCCACGGTCAATCGAGCGTCCAGAATTCCTTCGATGGTATGCTCACTGAGTGGCACCCAGCACTGCTGAAATGAAAATGAGAAATGATCTCATCTCACCAAGTTGGAGAGTGAATTGTTAGACGTGAGCGTTCCATTGCGTCCACCAGTGAGAAAGGGAAATGACATCCTAAACAATGGGCACACCTACACTCGTCTTCACTGCCAGTGATGGGAATAGTTCTACCCATCGCTTTTCAAGTACAGTCTTAAAGGCCTGCACTGCTTGAAGGTCGACTCTTTCCTGGGGAAGCCGGTTCCAACTATCGACTATCCTATTACTGAAAAAAGTGCTTCCGCATGTTTAGTCGACATCTTTGCTTCATGAGCTTGAACTCATACCCCCTAGTGCCGTGTTGTGGAGCTAATGTGAAGAGAGTGTCCGCTCCTATCCCCGATATTCCCCTCATGATTTTGAAGGTTTCTATTAGGTCTCCTCGCAGTCTCCTTCTTTCCAAGGAGAAAAGCCCTAGAGCCTCTAGTCTTTCCTCATATGTTCTCCCCCTTTGGCCTTCAACCATTCGGGTGGCCGA